AATAGTTATGCCCCCAAGTCGCTCTAGTCTACCAGCAGAGATTATATTGCATGATGATTTCGGGGAGTAGAGAGTATTGTGTAAGTCTAGCCTGAATTTTCCCAGCTTAATGTGGGCTATTCCTTCCTTAGTGAGAGCCATCGCTCCTACAGCCTGGTCAAATGTGAATGGATGTATACGCTCGTGGAGGTTAATAAAGGCAGATTTGATGCTCACAAAGTGGTGCGATGCACCGGTATCATATATGAAAGGCATTTTATTTCCACTTATAGCTGCTGCAGATATGTTTACACTTTCTGAATATTCAGATTCACCATCTTCGATATTCTCCTGGATGGATGCCTTTGCTTTACCCTTGCCCTTTCCTTTACTCAGCCACTTTTCTGCTTTAGGTCCAACTGCCAATTCCGGATGTTGCTTGTAGCAATACTTGTTTTTATGCTTGTGCCAGCACAGCCTACATGTTGCTTCTGGATCTGGTTCATTAACATCTTGTTGTTGTGGAGTAGCCATCATGGCGATTTTAGGTGCTTGGCTTCGGACTCCGGCCTCGGTTCGCAGTGTGGACATCATATAATCCAGTGGTGCAAGGGTATTTTTTAGAGTTCGAGTCTTCGTGCCTCTCCAGATGTCAAGCCACTCCACCTCTTTTGTGCCAAAAACAAATAAAGCTGCTGCTTGTCCTTTATGGACTTTGTAGTCTTCTGCCATTGCTGATTCATCTGCAGCTGCCATAACTGAAGCTGCATTGTTAACACTTTGCAGCCGCTTAAGGAACACATCGCAGTATTCATCTGCAGTTGCAGTGAATCTAGTTTCTAACAATTTGGCAAGAGCAGTTTCATACGGTGCGGAGGCTGTTGTTATTCTAGTTTTGGCTAGCTCGACGTACAACTGTTTCGCAGTGATCTGGTCGTAGTCTTCGGGGACCAACTCGGGGCTCAACCGAGTGACGATCGCATCTTTTGCACGAAACTCACCGTGCGACCATTTCGCAAGTGCCTTCTTGTGATTCATTGCTGCGTCTTCATCTTCATCTATTTCCTTCGGCTTAGATGGCTGGGTAATAGGGTCTATGCCTGGGACATCATGAAAGACATGTCCTACGACATCAAGTATACTGAGTCTTGCTTGTAAGCTGCTCTTCCACTGGTTGAATGGAACTCCTTTCCTTAAGGTCACCTTGTCTGAATCTGTATTTATCATGGTTGTTGAAGAGCCCGGGCTCATAACCTGTTATAGTTAAAAGCTTGCGGAAGATATCTTGATAGACAAATAAAGGTGACTGGCGATGTACAAGGAGAACGAATATGTGAGATGGGAGCAATGAGCTAATGTGTGCAGACTTAGTTTTCTATCTAATTGAATGTGTGGGTTCTCTACATTCTATGTACATGGGTCGGCTAATTTACTAAGCTAGCTCCTGACAAATCCCTTGGCACACCATAACACCTGCTCATGTAAACTAAGCCAGGAAGGTCACATGACCTGACAAGCAGGACATAGATATTGGGAAATGCTGCTCAGTCAGCTGGGTGATTCGATTAAACCCCCTCACCCTCTGTATTTAACACTCATATATTTTCATACATTTTTAGTGTATTACTATACCTATTCACTGGGTTTGATGTTGCAGTGGTACAACATTCGGGCCTTTCTCCCAGGTAGACACTGAGTAGCTTAAACACCTCCCCCATCAGAGACAGGAGAAAGCAGGTCCGAATCCAGTAATATCTACACACAATTCTCTCTCTCGGTGATACTGTACTTATGGATGATGAAAACACACTCGGATAGCCACAGGGTTTTCTCGCTTTTCCCTGTGGTGGTTGTGCGCGGAAGATGTTATATGCTGAAAGGGTTAACGTCTAGTAGTATCTGCAAATGAATGTTACGGGCTGCGCCTTACTTTCATGTACTTGTGCCTATCTATGTACTAATCGCCGATGTTCGTTTATGGGATTATAAGTGAACGTCGATCTGAAAAATACGAATCGTCCATAGATCACCTCAATAATGCGGATGAACACCGATCCGATAGATATCAAACTCCTTGGGGTCAGAGCTACGTGTACATGTGTCCTACAGCCTAGATAGATACCATTTCCTAGATAATTAAAAAATAGACTGTATTACGGCCAGCTTAATTTTTTCTTATTGTTTAGGTGACAGCCCATCACAATGAAATCTGAGTGTGAGTGTTCTAAATGTCAAATTGGGTCGTCCTACTTCAAGCACATATCTTCCCATAAAAACCTGCATGGGCCTGATGGCGCCAAATCAGGATAATGAATAATTTGTTTATTTATGCATATTCTCTCTATACCTTATCTTACCCCGAGGAGGGCAAGACTGAACACCTGTACGCGGTGTCCTCTACGAACCTGGGAGTGAAATATTCTCCCAGAGCCGATTTCAATCAAACTTCGCAATACCGAACAGCTTGGCCCACGAGGCAATGATTCAAAATACTCCACCATATCAATCTTTCATTCTCAAAGAGATCGATCCTCACCAATACCTCATTAAGTCTACAGGCACGGCTTAGTACATCTTAATGTCAACGACCATACCTCTTTTTGACTATCTTTAGCCTCAGTGGACCACCAGATACACGCCCACGCCAATATTTACACCCGACGGAGGAAGCACAGCGTGGCGCACAAATCTGGGAGACAGTTCTTTGAGATAGACGTGAGAGGGATTATGACAAGTTCACAAGATGATATAGGGGATGGATACAGTCTCGATGGGCGTGAAATCTTGAATTTCGGCAAGGAGTTTTACGAATTGGGCTTTACGAACTGGGCTTTGTGCGTGCTAAGGCTTCGGTTGCGAGATCACAGCTGACACTATAAACACAAGCCAAAGATGGAAGGTGTTGTGGTCCGCCTCCTGGTGGTGTTCTCTGGTATGGTTTGAGTAGCCTGGGCATCTACTCCACTTGGGAAGGAGACACCTCAGATTGAATTTCGCGCGGAGGAAAGTTAATGGATGACGGAGGCATGTCTGGATAACTTAGGCTTTTTGAGACGTTCGCCTGGGTGGGTATTCACGGATGAGGCTTGAGTTGGGGTGAAGAAAGAGCCACCATAACTTCGTAGTGATATTTGCAAATAAGTTTCATATTATGAGTGTCTCTATCGTCAAAAGAGTCATCGAATACGTATACATAGCACCGGTTATGTGTCATAACTAAATAGCTGCATACATATTAAATAACTTTTAAAAGAAAACCACCCTTCCCTTGTCCCCTAACAACTCAGCCCAGCCAGCACAAGATCGCAATTTGACGCGACTCCAGGACACTGCTTTTAATGTACCGACCGCTGAAGGTTCCGGAAAACTCCTGTTTGCATTTGAAGTACCTTATTAATCGCTTCATTAATGAAGATATTGAAACCTCTTACCTGTTTAAATATAACCCAAGTGTTTAGATCGGATAGATATGACCATTCGACGATAATGAATATGATTAAGCTTCCATTCGCCGTCTATTTCGAAGCAATTTCTACCTTTTACAGCTATACTGATTATCTATTCCGAATTCTAAAAAAGATTGTATTTGCATCTCCATACAAAATAAGTTTACCCTCCAGGACATCTCGATTAGGTAGTCAAAATTTCCTTCACAACTATCGTAAAGGTAACCTACCCCGTCATCATTGTTCATTTTTAATCGACGCTAACGCGTGTCAATTGTTTTGATCCGTTCATTTACTATTCCAAAATTAGATTAAATAGTGAGAACTGTGTTAGCCAGGATACTTCAGCAGTGTAAAATAATAATACGCCAATTAAAAACTCCAAAATAGCAGTTGCATTACAATATTTTACTACTTCTCCATTACAATTTTTCTCTTCTCCCTTCATCTCGTGGGAAAAATAGTGCCAGAATTTTTATGAAAACACTACGAAGAACAAGACAGACCCTCTTTTCTTTACAGTTTTGGTATCCCTATTTAACCTTTCTAGCCAAATCATTTTAATAAATAATCTGCACATTAGGGCTAATTGCTTGAGTCTTTCATGGATGGTCGTTCACACGTACAGCAAAAGCGTCATATCATTTATGTTTATCATCACTGTCTCATCCTCTAGCAGTCGGTTCTAGAGTCATAAAAACTGTCATTGGTTTTAGCATCTTAACCCACAATAACTCTACCATAAATAAATCATCTGTCCTAACCAAATGATTTCTAATCATTATACTGCTAGAATTATGATAAGTCAATGTATCTCTCTTCTCATGATTTGGAATAAGGCATCATTCTGAAGGTTGTCACTCACACTTCATCTTCACGCTTTCTTCGTCGAAAGCCTTCAGTATCGGGTTATACATATTGGGTGGACATGGATCTGTATCTATCCATAAGACATTTTGTCGTATACAGCAGATCCTGAAACTTGGAAAGCAGCTAAATTCTATCAATGCCGACATACTGGACGTCAAAGAATAAGTTTCCAGAAAACTCCTCTTACTATACATAAAAACCTGACAAGGGCCAAAAGTAGCTTAGCAATTCAAATTCGAAGCGAGCATATCGGGCTCAATTCGTATTTGCATAGAAGAAAAGTACCAGGAGTCTACGATCCATGCTGTCCGTGTGGCTACAAATCACAAAATCCCAAGCACATGATCATGTCCTGCCCTCGATGGTCAACTGGAAGAGGAGAGATCTGGAGACAAGCCAAAGACCGGTCCTACGAAGCAATGATAGACAATCCTGGTGATATTAAAAGAATTACGCAATGGATTCTTAGTCATGGTTGGATAGATCAATTCCGCATGACAAATGCAGTCGAAATACTGATTAGGGAACGAGGCAGGACTGGCACAAGGTTGGGGTCGTTAGAGGGGACGTGATTGGTACATACAGACGGCACTACAGTGTAACTGTGCTTCCTGAAGGATAAATTGCAAATTTCAAAGATACAAATCAGAAAGCTGGGGAGGTTTTTACCGAGAGGTTTCCTCCTATGTAAATATATAGATAGATTTATAGCCACCTGCATGGGCCCATAGGGCGCCAAATCAGGACAATGAATACAAAAAAAAAAAAAAAAAAGGCATTTTGTCGTTCAGACAAAATCTTGCACAGCTTTCTACCAAGGTCTTTCAAACATTCGAATCTCGACGAGAATGCATCTAGCGTATTCTTCTCGAAGTAAGTCATAGAAATGGCTCCTGATTTGTTAAAGAGCATATCCTTGGCTTCTCCTTTATACCACTTCCTCAACATGCCGAGATGAGGTGACTTTTTCGGCCCCCACCCAAATCGTATGAATACTGAAATTAGCACAAAGAAGAATGACTCCAGATCGTGACGATAAGTATTGAAAATCCCTTTGTTAGATGGTAATGCATATTCCTCTAAGAGCCCAAGTGCCAAGAGCTCCATAGTGCCGGTCAACGCTTTAGCATTCTCAGAACAGTTGTTGTCTGTTCGCAATATTGCTAGATCTAGGTCAATCAGCATCCCATGACAACCATTATTTCGCTTCGGGTTAGTCAATATGATGTTGTTTGTCGAGATATCGCGATGCAATATATTCGTGTCCATATAGAGCGATTGATGACCCTTAATTGCATCACGTAGCCCGCAGATAAGTTCCACAGCAGTTGTCTCCTCGCCGATGGCTCGACCGAAGGGCCCAGCAGCAACGACTGTTTCCCAACGATTCCGGTAGACCAATGAATCGTCCGTCATGATAATGTCCGCGTTACTGATTGCTGGGACCGGTTCTGCATTTTCAACATCCCGTTCTTTCGCAGGTCTTGCATGATTCTTGGTCTCATTGATGTTAGTGTTAGCTGCGGGTTCCAAAATTTCCCCGAAATTTCTCGATATGCAAAGTCTCTTCATTTGGGGCTCCGACTCAGTCTGGACTTCAGCATCAGTCTCGTCTACATTCCTGGATCTTTTTCCCAAAGACGAGTTCGATCCTTCGTCGAGACTGTTACTACTTTCGGGTGGCAAATTTATTGGGGCTGAAGTAGTTTCTGGAGTCACATCTTGAGCCAAATCTTGAGTCACGGGATTGGCGTCGGTTATCGTAGGATCGGGAGCGGTTTTAGATAAAGGTTTCTTTCGCGAGCCAGTCGAATTGCCATTTTTGCATACTCGCGCTGTTGCTGCATTATATAGAGCTTGTCTTGAAATACTCAAGACACACGATCTTTCGCTTCTCCGTAATTTTTTGTTGGCTCCACCGGCAACCGACTCGCTATCACGTTTGACACCCTTACTGTCGGAATACTTAGGTGGTAATTTGTATCACAAGCTTGATGTAGCAGTAATAATTATTGTACGTCTAAAAATGATCTACCCCCCTGTCTTCCTAGAAGGAAACATCTATAAACCGTAAAACCCCCTGTCTCCTAACGCCATTCCCAAACGGGTACCTCATTACTCATCAACACAATTCGTCATTAGTTCAAAGGAAATACATATTGATCATTGGATCGTTAAGTCATTAAACACTTACTTAACTCAACGTTCCTATCCGGTCTGGATGACCCTAGTTTTAGTGAACTACCGGCTGTTGTCATTTTGACCTCGATTGGATGAATTTCTTTATTCATATTCTGAGTGAAAGTTAGTCCACTTCGTAGGTCACTAATCTTGATCACATCTCGCGATCCAATCAGTGATGCCACATCCCTCACGTTCCGTGCTCTCATCAAAAGTTCAACTTCTGACAGTCGGCCGACTGCTCTCCACGAGATCTTGACCACAAACTTCAGGTCGTAAGATAGATACACTGTCGTACCGCGAGAGACGATTGCCATTTGCTTGATGAGCAGATTCGGCCTAAGATAGATTCTCCTCGACTTATTTGTGTCTACATCATAAATGGTGACACTTGTCCTGCCTTTTTCACGCTGGATGATCGAGTCAAGGCCGTGCTCTTTGTCGCTCATTAACATATACGCCGCAAGGACATAGACTAGCCTCTCAGGGCTTTCGCCGACTTCAATGTATTCAGCCGAATACGGCCCCGATCGGTCGTAGACCCACAACTGCAGTTGCGTCCCAAACATGAGAAACCCGTGCGCAAATTGCCGCAGTGGCTGGGCCGAAAATATCTCCCGCATATAGACCGAGAGCTGGAGAAACTTGTCGACCCACTGTGCAGAAGATAGCTCAGTCAGCTCTCCCAGAACAAGGATATCCCGCCAATCATGAGCTTTGGCAGCTTTTTCTCGACTCTTGATGAAGATATCAATCTGTCGTATTGCTAATCCTCCGTCGATCTGTCCGGGTCCCGTCGTATGGAATGCGTCGGCTCGAAGGGGAAAGTTGTCCTTACTTTCACAAGATTCATCGGGTTTGTACGGCTCGATGAACTCAGCTTGGACCGCCTTTATCCATTGCCAGACATTCTTCTCAGTTGGGTCTTTGGGAAACTTGAACGTCGATTTGTCTGGCCTATTCTCGTAGCGCTTTGCGATCTCCCTACACTGGCCTGCCCATGTTGTCCCTTCAAAATACTTTGCATAAAACCCACCGACATTTTCGAAAATAGTACCGGCCAGCTCAGTACGAAGCGCTCCTTTCAAAGTATCCATGATCTGGTCGGCTCCTTCGTATGTGGCCGTACACCGCCTGCGACGCGCATCGCCTTGTTTTGCAGAAGGAACATTCGTCTCAGGCGATTGCATAGGCTCGTGGGTGTCGACAAGTTCGGTCACTTCATCCCAAACTTCAATGTCTGTGGCATTAGATATTATGGATTTGATCAATGGTATGAAAGAAGTCAATTGAATGCTCTGTAAAGCTAGTCGTTTCGCAATAGAAGTGAGGCGAATATCCATGTCTTCGTTGATGGAGGATGGGACGGCGTTATTTTGAGCACAGAAAGTGAGAGAAGTCAGCAGATTTTCTAAAGGTTCAACTATAGACTCTAAATCAATATTTTCGTAAACTGTTTGTGGCGAAAAATGAAAATTTGAAAGTGAACAAAGTCCTTTAAACGATGGAGTGATCTTTCTCAACGGATTCGCTGTGAAATGCGCGGAGTCATCGATGAAAGTAGACGTCTTATTGTTTGATACTGAATGTATATGGAACTTGAGGAGGGCAGAAATGTAGTCGAGGTAAGGGTGTGAAGAATGCGCGGAGTATCGGATGATGAACGATGATTGGAGGCAGGTGTTGTTATTTTATACCTAGAGATTCCAAATCTTGTCAAAGGTACCAGGACATTTCTCCTCGATTGGCGGTCTAAGGAGACACACTTTCAAAATAGCTCCTTCTCAGAAATTGATGATGCAGATCCTGATAACGCCTGTGGTGGATCATTTTGACGGCATAGTACATGGATGGCACGGCCACTGTAATAATCCCTAACATGATTTAGGCCTTTCATCCTTGGGAAAGTGTCCAGCTATAGAATACCAATGGATATTGCAGCACGAATGTAAGACCAGAAACTTAATCTAGTATTTGGAACAATGCTGTCGAATTAATGCGCAGGGCGAACCGAACGTCCATCGACGTGATTGTTGCGCGGCAATGAGTGACATGCGGATGACAGCGATGTGTGCTTTGCGATGCACTCGAATGATTGGTAGGCAGCGTCCGAATGCAGATAAACCTTCATGGTTTATTCTTCGTGATATTTACGACAGCAAATCTGATGGGAAATCTAGGCGTATGATTATCATTTTATTCCTCATGATACTGTCCAATGTTTTTATTGGTGGATATGAAGTTTATGATTCGAATTACAATGCGATCCTCGGAAGTGTCGTAATAGATCCCCAGTAATCATCGTATCTATCACGAGTTACATGTTTCATCGTTCTCATTACAGCAGTAGCTCTCCCCGTCGTCGATGTCCACCACACACTCATATCTTGCAACTACTAACTTCATTGTCCGGATTTGAATGTGATATCTTTGGTTTTGGGATGAGAAAAGTATTTTACTTTTGGTAACATTCAAGCGATTTCTTTTGATCGATTGATTGAATAAGTACATGCGGTTGAGATTATGTGGAGTAAGAGATAACTTCAATGTGGTGTTGTATCAAGAATCCTGAGACGCTGTGGAAAAAGCCCCCAACAAATCGTTCATTAAGTTTAACATCCAGAAAAAATTGCTCTCAGCTCACAAACAACTAGATCAAATTTATTATCAATGCATTCCAACCATATACATACCACTAAAACTTTGATTATCCGAAAGTGAATTAAATCTTAGTAGATTAAACCATGGCAAGGTCCAAAGGAACATTATCACATAAGTCAAGATCTAGGTAATCGAGTTCAGATCTTATCAGTAACAAGGAAAGGTCCTCTCAGTCAATAGATGACGATTAAATTTTGAAATCTGTCTTAAGATGTGAACTACAAGTTAATAACGTTCTTGTGGCGGGTAAAGAAAACTGGACAGATTCTAATGAAATCGAGAAACATATCACCAATTGTAAGCAGACTTGTGCTTGCATAAGTCTGGATCCAGTCCAAAAGCGAAAGCACGATCTGCGTGCAGGCATGTCAGACTAGTAATGATGATCAGGGGCATCAATAGGGTAGAACTAGATATTATAGTGCTACGATGGACTCGTAGCACGGAGACAATTAATCAATTCATTCCTGTATTCGCTTTTACCTTTTGACGATTCACATGACACTCACACGAAGACCTCTCTAAGTTTTACACCAATGGCCATATTAATTACAGGTAGGGATAAAGATCGAGTGACGCAGGAGATACTGAATAGCATAAGTCTACTGCATTTTCAATTTTATCGAGTGTTTGAGGCTATATCATATACAGAAATTTACAGATTTAAAGTTAGGTAAAAACATGACTGAAGCCGAGGTGACGGTAAAACGGATACCGCATTTCTGTTAAGTTAACTTATTGAGAAATTAGAATGTCAATGGAGCAACTTGGGGGATCTTTTACTCCTTGGATCATGCCGTATGAGAATTAATGTACATGGAATTTTGTATGAGGCTTGAGAGTGTCAAATAAGTTCAAAGATCGTGAACGAGATTTTTTTACTGCCAAAATCACTAAGAAAGTGGTGTATCGTAATCCACAAAATCTAGTGTAGAGTATAAAAGATAAAATCTAAGAATAAGTGATAAACTTGGCTAGAGTGATTGTCATAGAGCCAGCAGTGTCTTATATCTCGTGCCGTACAATTTAATGTTGGTGCGAAGTATGTAAAGACACAGGAATAGATGGGAGGATTCATCTCGATAGAGTAACAGGCCTCCCACAACATCTGGATTGCGGTCCTCCACAAGGCTTACCGGCCCCGCCAATCCTGTTCATGCTCTACATCTCCCCGCTCTTCAAGATGGGAATGAAGAGGAAAACTTTCGGCAATGCAGATGATGTTGCTCTGCGGAGGACAAGACTAAACACCTGTACGCAGTGTCCTCTACGAACCTGGTAGTGAAACGTTGTCTCATAGTCAAGTTTTGTCAAATTTCGCAATACCTAAGGAGTTGGCCCACGAGGTAATGATTCAAAATACTCCACCACATCAGTTTTTTACTCTCAACGAGTTTGACTCCTATCTAAGTCTCATCAAGCCTACAAGTATGACCAAGTACATCCTCATCCCAATGACCACACCACTCTTGGACCTTCTCTGGCCTCAGTTGACCACCAAATACACGCCCACGCCGATATTTATACCCGACGGAGGGAGCAAAGCGTGGAACACAAATCTGGGAGACAGTTCTTTGGGATAAACGTGAGAGTGATTAGGACAACTTCACAAGATGATGCGAAGAAAGGATATAAACTCGACGGGCGTGAAATTCCGAATTTTGGTGAAGATTTTTACGAATTGAGCTTTGTGCGCGCCAAGACTTCGTTTGCGAGATCGCAGCTGACACTATAAACACAAGCCAACGATGGAAGGTGTTGTGGTCCGCCTCCTGGTGGTGTTCTCTGGTATGGTTTGAGTAGCCTGGGCACCTACTCCACTTGGGAAGGAGACACCTCAGATGATATTTCGCGCGGAGAAAAGTTTATGGATGATGGAGGCATGTCTGGATAACTCAGGGTTTTGGAGACGCTTCCCTGAGTGGGTATTCACGGATGAGGGTTGACTTGGGGTGAAGAAAAAGCCACCATAACTTCGCAGTGGTACTTGCAAATGAAATCCGAGGCATGGGTGCTCCTCTTGTAAATTGAGTCATCTTTTCTGTACTTTCTTTGATATTGTGTCATAGCTAGATAGCTGCATACGCAATTAAAATCTGTTGCAAAAAAAAAATAAATAGCCTAAGCCACAACATAGACGAGTGTGGCGCCATCTAGGCCTCCAAACCCCCCAATAACCTCCTTGCGCCCACACCATACAGCCGCTCATATATCCAATAAGTAGACTGAAGCGCTACCATATTGCTCATTCCAACCTCTTACATACACATAAGATCGAGGCGGCAAGCTAGACGGAATGGAGGGCCCGTACGTCCACAACGCTCCCTGTCTCCATTTCCAGCAGTTTTCACTCGATGGAACAAGCTGATACTATTATGCATGTAATGCATGATACTCTCCACTTTGTCTCTCATGACACAGGTGGAAAGTTTACGCCACGGGTGGTCGCTCTCAAGGCAAAGAAATAGTCGCTTGTCGACTCTCGCCTTCGGGTCGTCTTTATTTGGGGCTTTGGCCGCAGGTCGCGGCACAGCCTTTGCAGCAGGGACTGCTTTCTGTCGCAGTCCGTTTCTAGCCACCGTTGCCCAGGTGCTTTTTACAGGCAGCACTGAGACGGCGGGAATTTGTATGCTCCTAGCGTCGGGAGCCCTTGGGAGAGGGTTCGCAGGGCGAGGAGGGAGGAAGGGTGGCGTAGAGGCGGGGCCCGTGGCCATGTATTACGCAATGGTGGCGCGTAGGTAGACTCTCATGAAGTCTACGAATTGTCCATTTGACCCGTTGGTCAAAGGGAGAAGGGTTGCTTCGACACCAGAGATGGCGGCGGAGCAGAGGGTCAGATTTGCTGCTGTTTCGGCGGCGCGTCGTTGTTCGGCTTCGACAATCGGACGAAGCTCCGAAGGACAGTCTGCTTTCGTGGCAGCTTTAGTCTGCGACTCTTCCGCTGGTGCTGCTTTGGGTGCAACGTTCTCCGACGGTTTTGACGCTGTCGGATGAGATTTTGACGATTCTCCAGTTCCGTGGGGGATGGAGGCTCGTTGAGGAATTTCCTCAACAATTTCGGCTGACCCGATCATGTCAGTATCGGGCTCAGTGACGGCGGGCAGGGCTTTTTCCTTCCCTTTCATTGAGACCTTGCTCATCTCCGCGCATTTCGGAGACTGAACAATGCTAGGTAATTGTTCGAGAGCCCTCGGGAGGACTCTCGTGTTGTCCAACGTGGCGTTGGGTCGCTTTTTGCGAACTGGAGGCATTGTGAAAATGCCTAGGCTCGATCATAATTCTGAGGTGTATGCAACAAGATTGAGGGGAATGGTAAATGGGAAAAAGGGAATCGTTGATGTTCGAATTTCTCGAATTGTTTTTTTTTTTATTAAATTAAAGTCCTAAGCTAAAGCTCTAGGTCCACTATAGGTACAAGACTGGTGGAACCGGCGGGGATCACTGCTTACAGGCCCAACTCATTCCAACCGCGAGACCTGCTGCAGAAAAAGTAGGAGGTAAATTATAACTCAGAAGACACCACCTACTCCGACTCCGAAATCGAGACTCCATCCTTCAACCCTAACTTCAAGTACATAAAAGATTTCCTCAGAGAAACGACACTTCTCGCATCGATCCCTTTCGTGTCATGCGTTGTGGTAATGACTAGTTTATCTGATCCCCACTGAGAGCAGTGGATAAGTGAGCAGGTCGTCTATCAAAACAGCCGGTTTCCTGCGCAAAATTTTTGAAGCTATCGTGGCACTTGGGCCCGAGAAGCTTTTTGATAAAGTCAGCGTGGGACATTGACTTTCTGAGCCTACGCGTTTGTTGTGCGTGGCGACTACAATGGATAAATTGGGTTGGAGTAGTTTTCTTCCCGCAAGAGCACTCCATAGGAGCGTGTGGATTA